ATTTTCTAAAGAGTAATATACTTTACACTGAAGTTAAACACTAAAAAAAAGTTAAAACCAAAAACACAATATTTAATTTATTAGTCAATAATCATTACGTACTTATTCGTGTATTACTTAATTGCTTATAAAATATTTTCACTCTAATATTCATTCGTCTAATATGTACCTACTTTCACAACCAGTTTTCTATACACAGGGACACCGGAAAATATAAGACAAAAATTAGTATTTTTGAATATATATAGGTATATAGGAGGTATTTACTATCTATTCTACAATATGTTGCAGTGAAACGCCTATTTATTTTCCGTTCATAGGAATTAAAGTTAGAAATCTTTAGATATAATTGATAGAAGGTACCAAGATCTTACGTCCGCGCAAATAACCAGTACCCATAATACATTTCACTAAAATTATGGATACATACCTACCTAAGTATTATTTAAATAAGAAATGCATAGCATAAATTTAGCCTCTAGGTAATAATTACAGTCATAACAGATCATTTATTATTGAACTACTTGAACTATAAAGAATGATTCACATTTCAACATAAGACATTTTATTATTTAATAGAACACTATAACACTTTGAAAATATTTCTTTTACAAAATAGTTATAATATGTTGTTACAAAATAATATTTTTGGGAAAACTTTTTCTTGCTTTTATAAAATTGTTATAATTTTTAAATATTTTAATTTCTTATTTCGAAAAATCAATTTTCAGATTAGTAATTTATTAATTACGAGTATATATAAAAAAAGTATTTAAAATCAATCTTACTTGTTCAAAATTATTTAATTTTTGTTCTTGGCTTAACATAAGCTATTTAAACTCTTCACAGCAAACCAACACTTCTCACCACGCTTCTCGCCATTGACAATTCCTAGTATTTGCAGATCACTCCAAACTCTGTCTGCCCATCTTCATTTTAACTGTTGCAATGGCCTCGTTCCATGTGGGATGCATTTTGTCACCTCTCAGATTGCCTGATCTTATGCTCTCTATATATTATGTCCTGCCGAGCTAATACGCATTTTTATTTCGTTACATTTACTGAAAGACACTTTTGCATTCATCTAAAGATTCCGTTTCTATATCTTTTACACGATTCATTTCACAGTATTTTTTTTCTGTTCGAGTAATTTTTTTTAGTTCTCGCTCTTGAATTGCTAATTGCCTTCTGTTCTAATCATTAGGAGTCCTAGTCAACTTCAAAATTGTCGCATTTCTCTTTGCTATTGCTAGCTTTCATTTTTCATTGAACCATTTTTTTACTTTAACGTTTCACTGACTGCCTTTTTAATAGATTTTTCTAGTTTTTCCTAAATTTGGTATACTTTTCTATGATTTCCCACTAATCCCATTTCTTCGTTTAGTTTATCCAGTGCTTCTATGTACGCAATTTTGTCTGTTTGCCCCTTTAGTTTCTCAATTAAATCTTAAATGTTTTGGTTATGGTTTTCTTAGTTACCTATCTAATTGACTGATACTCTTATGTTTAGATATCTTAACTCGTATAAGAAAGTTATCAAAAATTCCAGATACCTACTCCTCTACAACTCTTCCATCCTTGTACCTACACATCGTTTTCTTCTTGAATCAATCATTACCGAATCTTAGCCAAATTTAAATATATGTTGCTATAAATAAAAGTACAAACCGGTTACAAAAAAAAAAAAACTAGGTACATCTAATTCTATAGATAGTTCATTTTAACAATGGCATTCAACAAACAACCTAAATAGAAATAGATATGATAATAGTAAAATTAAAAAAAAATATTTCAAAAAAAAAAAAAAATTAAAATACAGATATAAAATATTAAAATATCTACGATTCATAAACTTTCAATAAATTATAATTTATAACTAGGTATTAAATAATAAAATATATCTGCAATATTATCTAATACTTATAAAAACCTTATCAGCTAACCTTCACCCAACCAGTTTTTGGGAAACGTTTTAAGTAGGTATTTTGAAAGAAATTAATTAGAAATCATAGTTTATTAATCATTAAAAACTAAATAGTGACAAATTAAACTTGAATATATTTATATATATATAAATATTTATTTGTATAGATTATACCCTGTATCCACATAATAAACATTAAAGTATAATATTAACATTTATTTTTTCAATTCACAATATTTAATTCAAGTTGAAACGATCATGCGCTATAATAAATTATTGTGAGGGAGTTTGTTTTGTCACCTTCTTACAAACATACACATTGCAAATTCGTGTTCAGTAAAACTAATTGTGTATCGTTAGCTTTAATATTACAGTGAATTAACTAATTAACTTATTATCAAAGGTAAAAATATTATCTGTGCTTAAGCGTTGGTTATCCTCGATAGTTATTTAAATTCTTAAATTAAGATATAAGTATTGTAAATATTTTAAGTTAAAATGCTCTTGTTTTGGTTAAAAGTAAAATATTGAAAAAAGCCAACGTTTAAGCACAATTAATGTAGGTACCTACTTAACAATATTTAACCTTTAACTCTAATAATAATTAATGGGTGAATTGTGAATTCATTAAATTAAGCCAACAATACTTAATTGATGCTATCTGCTATCCCTTCTTATGAATAATAAGAAATCATGATTTCTGAACAGGAATTTAGTTTCTACAATTCGCTCACTTTACTACACATAGACATTGAAAAAGTTTAATGCCTCGCAAAAATCAACTGAAAATGATTAATATTTGAGGCCCAATCTTAAACTAGAAAGATAGGTACATCAGTACCTATAAAATGTAAAAAATATTCTAAATAAATAATTTTGAATTTGATTTTTTTAGAAATTTTAATTTTCTATAACAATTTACTAAAAAGAAAATATCTCAAGTTATAACATATAACACAAGAGTACATACTGTTTGAATACTGAAATTCTCAACACACATTCCTTAATTAATAGGCAAGTATGCAATACTACAGTATAAAATATTAATATTATATTGATATGGTATCATTTTTTTTTATATTTTAAATAAGAATCTAAATAATTTTTTAACTAAAAGACATTATAAACATTAATCAACAAGTTATAAAACTCATTCATCTTAAAACACACCTTGCCTAAAATACAGTCTTAACAGCTTGGTCGTTTGGTAGTATTGTAGTAATAAGAACTAAAACATTGAATTATATTAAAGTTATTAAACTATGAGAATTAACATAACCTAATTCTAAGTAAAATTAATGCATTGAAGGTACTATGTAAATTACACAATATCAAATAAATTAATAAAACTTTATAGCAAAAGTCAGCAACCTTTTTATTTACATGGGGAATATTTTATAACAGCTTTTCATTAAGGGTCGCATACAAAATAAAAACTAATGTTACTAAAAATACAATTTTAACATATAATAATAAACTTTAAATATAAAATAGTTATAATCATGTTATGAGTTTCACATTGCTAGGTTGTTGTTATTAACTTATTTTGAATAAAATACAATAGAAGAAAAAATTTAAAAAAAATTATTAATTCTCAAGTGCAAAAGAACATAAATATTTAGTTTCTAGAATAATTTTTAAGGTAGACTTTTTCGCTTTAATTTGTTTATATCTGGTTTCATAATAGATGTTCTTAACACTGCATTCAAATGTTTATTGCTAATTTTGCTTGATCATGAACAATATTTATTTTTTTCAAAATAACTATTGAAAACGTTTGCTCACAAAGATAAGTACGACCAAAAGCAATAAACATAATTATGAGTAAAACTTTTATACCTTTAAATTAATTTCAAAAAGACTTAAATAAAATATTTTATGTTCATTACTTTCTTTAAAAGCAGTTTTTAAAACAGTAGTTTTGCAATTCTATGACTTTCACCTGTAAATTAGATTCAATGTCATCATTGTCAATAGAAAAAGGGTTTTGAAACAAGTTGATTTTTTTCTCACGTACATAAAAGTTAGGAAATTGTATTACAGTAGAGTCCCGCTAATCCGGACATCGCTAATCCGGACATCCGGACAATGTATGTTTCGTATTTAATACTCATGTATAATATATATATATTCGGGAATACCCATAATTAAGATATTATCGTTTCGATTATATATTTTGATTTGTGATATTTTTTGCTAATATTCAGGAATACCCATAATAAAGGTATGTATTATTGTTTCGATTAGGTACATAAGTATTGTGATATTATTTTGTTTAGTGGTGATTGTGTACCAGTGTAGACCGTTGCGTTTATTTTTTCCTCTGCTTATTATAAAAACAACATAAAATGACAGCTTAGGTAACAGACGCACATTAAGAAAACCAAACAACGAAGCTTTAGACGAGGCTTTGTACATTTGGTTTATTAATGAGTAAGTTAAAAAAAAACGTCATTTCGTTTAATCCGGAGAGAGTCCGGATTAACGAGACTCTACTGTAAATTGAATTTTGTAAATTTTTCAATTAAAATTTTGCAACGTACAACTGTCCAAGCGCTGTCCATTGATATATTTGTGTAATAATTTGAATTTCACTTGAAATTATTTTATACCTGAATATATATTAGACAATAATTTAATTAAATTTAAATTTAAAAAAACATGATAGTATATACTTGGAGGGCCGCAGAAAATAATTCCGTGGGTTGACGATGTCTGCTTTATAGTATTATTAATATTACTTTTACAATATATTACAATTAACACTATAAACATATTTTAAATCTTAAGCAAATTTTTTACTTTAAATTAAAAGTATAATGTAACGTTTTATCAGAAATTAATAACTCAATAAATTATATGATACAAACTAGATTCAATAAACTGCTCAAATATTATAATTTAAGTACATATAATTGAAACTAACATTATTAAGTATACTATTATAGTAGTCAACAATTACTAATTAACAACTTTTGATTTTATACACATTGTTTAATATTATTAATAAGGTTTATAAAATAAAATATCACAAAATCTATGGGAATTACTAATGACTATTTTAAAATTCATAAAATTAAGGTATACTATTCAACTTAATTAAATATGAAGATAAATTTTCAAAGACTGCAAATGTGATGATTGTTGCTGGTACAACTCTTAATAGATTAGGCCCAATTCCTTTATAAAACCCTCGCATACTTTCATACCTGAAAAAAAATAAAATTATTGAAATCAAAACATTTAATACATAATCAAAAATATCTTACCAATTTTTTTGTTATGCTACTGGCAGCACCGCAACACACTGTTAAATGACATGTTAAAACGAACTACAAATATATTAATCACGTGATCTATATTTATATTTTACATGTTTAATAACAATGAACACGATAAAAAAGAAAATATTTATACAAAATATTTCTTTAACGTAAACCAAATTAATAGAAACAGTAAAAATATTAAAACTTAGTTTATTTTAACTGCAATTATCAGTGTATCGCGACGACAGAACAAACTTTAAAAACTAACTTTCGGAAAATATTACTTTATCATAATACGGTATAAAATTAAAATAATATTACTTATCACATTGTTGAAATTGTATAATATATTAAAAACAAAAAAAATACCAATTGTGAAATAAATTTGAGCGACTAGGACTAATCGTTAAGAAATAAAAATATTGAAAAACAAAGAAATATAACATATATTACAATATATCTATTAATACACATACAACTAAGAGGAGTATTGTCATAGTATAATTCTGTCTACAAGAAAAATAGTTTTGACAGGGGCAAGTATTTGTCAAAAGGCAATAATCATGTTATATGAATAAAAATCAAAAATTAAATAAATGTAGACTGATAATTGTTAATTTTAATTAACTTATTCAGTTGTCATTAACTTTTGAATGAGAAAATTATAATTTTGAGTATTGCACAATTGAGGTGAATAATATATACATATTTATATTTATATCAATATATAAATATAAGGGGCATTAAATTTTAATTTAACATAAAGAATAAAACATTTTATTAATACTAAATATAAAGAAAATAAAAATACTTGGAATCAAAAAAACTAACACAGGACTGATAGGTTTTGTTTATTTTTACTGATATTGATGTAATAGAATATTAAGTGTTTGTAAATTTCTCATATATCAACAACACAAGACAAATATTTGGAAGCACATGTAATAAATATGGCGATAATCCCTTATAGAATCCACCAGCACCTTCGTACCTCCATGTTTGGGTTATACAATGCCAAGTGCCTCGGTATTCACGGTGTTGATCTTGCAGTCTCGCGCGAATAACTTGATACGGATATGTTAGACCAGCTGCTATTAGTTTTGAAAATGCTGCAAATACAATGTATTCGGATGTATCCTGTGACAAATAATTAAATGTAATTAGTAATAAATATTTATAATTGGACTATACAGAGTGATCAACTTAACAAAAACACTTAAATTCAAGTTATTAATGTTAAATCAATCACCTCGTATTTATAACTTACCAGTTTAGCATCAATTGGTAATCTTCTATATTCATTATAAAAAGTCTTCATCTCCTCGTAAGTCATGAACTGCAGAGCACCATGAGATACGCCAAACATACCAGGAACAAAGCCCTATAATAATGTACATGACCAACTACTTTTTTTTTGGCAAAGGGTATCTATTACATCCATCTGTTATTTATTATTTAAACCAATACAAAAATAATAAACTTGTTATCTATCAAAGCGTGTAGAATTAGATTATAAATTAAAATTTACTTTACAAGTTTATTTGAAATATATACTTAGAAATTAAAAATAAATGGCAAGCATGTGTTATACAATTTAACTTTAAGTTTTAAAATAACTTTTTAAATAATTACTTAGTTTTCAAATTTTGTGAAATATGTTTTTATTTATGTTTTATATTACTTTTCTGACTTTAATATTTAACTTCATCTAATGTTTTTATTTTTTATTTAAATTAAATATACAGAGAACAAATAAATTGTATAAATCTAGTCTATGCAACAAATATTTTTTAATTCATCCTTAAACTGTCAGGTATTATAGAATACCTTATACAGGCCTCGTACACCCTCGGCACCATAAATCTTCCGAAATGCATCCCACATGCCACTGTACAACTTGCTTGGATCATTGGGCTTATCAAACTGCAAACACAAACGAGTTTTGACAACCCATACTGGATTGGTTATTATTAATGTGAGAATGCCTGCTTCTGCTGCAGCAGTCATATGTAATGCTGGACCCAGAGGTTTTTTAGTGTTGTCACCTTGAATCCAAGCTTTAATTGAATTATAACTAAAAACACATATTGTAGACTTTTAGTAAAATTAATGTTATTTCCTTATACTAGATTTACTTACAATAGGAAATAAAAACCCCATGCGCTTCCTGACCCCCAAACATTTGGTGTAACTCCTTTATAAAGTCCTTTAATTCCTTCTTGTCTAAATATTGTAGTGACAGCATTTCCCAATCCCGCATAACTTGGTATTGTATTTCTTCCATCATTGACTGTAAGACATAAATATACATAAAATTAAAGTTTGAATTAAAATGGGATGAAAATTATATCAATTACTCACCAGCAAATCGGATTTTCAATAAATCTAGAGGATGAAGTATGAGTGTAGATGCGACACCGCCTGAAAAGCCAGCCACCAAATGTTCTATCTTTACATGTGGAAACAATGATTTTGTTACGGGTGGACTGTTAGTCAGCGGCTTAGTTGGTTGTCCCATATCAGGCATACGATTGACTGTTGATGTTCTAGAGCCAAGAACGTTCATTGTCACACCGCTATACGGCCAAACTTTTAATACACACGCACGGTTCAAGAAATTGTATAAGATAGTTGTATCATAGAGAAATAAATCAATATAATAAAATAAACTACTGTGTATTAACCAAATTAAATTAAACTCTTCTAACACTTAATTAATGGAATATATTTATTTATATACATAATATATACTAATAAATAATATATATTAACAAAATAAATATATATCGAAAATAATTAATTAAACTAACTTATAGGTAGGTATTAGGTATTTATCACAATTGACTATCACATAGGATTTTGTTCGACGACATGTCGTGTACGATGAAGCATAGGGTGAAGGTATTCGATGCCTTCCACCAGTTCTAGTATTTTACCGGTCGAAAAAACTTTCTGGTTTGAATGAAGTCCACATTATTCTAATAGAAGTTTCAGAAACGAACTTTATTAATCGAACGCGAAACAACTTAACCGCACAGTGAAGCGAATAGAATTAAGAGAGACGTTTTAACTTTTATTAGAGGGAACAAAAGAGAAAATTGATTTCGTCAGATTATTTTTATCACAAGGCCAGCGGCACCAGTGCGATCATACTTCAGACTATACCACTTCCTCCGATTTATCTATTGGTAATACTGGTTAACAGTGATTTCCACAATTCTACGGTAGTACGGTATAGAAACAGATTACGGGTGACGAATTGACGATTGTCGATTATATACCATTACCATTCTATTATATCAAAACTCACAAGTTAATTCTTCATAATTCATAAAACCACAAATGGCACAAATCCAAATCACTATTCACTATACAGTATACATAGTTCACATTCCACAATACAACACTGCAAAGTTAATATTGACCTTTCAACCTTTGATTAATAAATAATGTAATATGAAAATTGGCACTGGTAATAAATAATAATTACTATTACATGTTATTATTATAGGTATCTCACATAATATTAGATTCCTCTAAAAACTTTGTGGCAAATTTAAATGATATTAAAAAATGCTTTTAATCTATTGTCTCTTGATAGATTTTCTGTCGAACAACTTACCTATAAATCGCAGATTTAAGATAACCGCAATTCAATTCTCATCATCATATTATAAATACTATATTTTATATAAATAATATAATATCTTTTATATTAATTATTATCTATAGTATATAATTTCATCACTAGTATCTTTTAATCTTTAAATCGGTAATATATTATATGCTCACTTAACTAGAAACCTCCGAAAAAATTGAACCCTAAGTCCATTTTTAACCGATATAACCAAAGTTTAACCAGAAATTATTTTTCAAGGGGATTCAAAATCTGTTAACAAAAAAAAGTATAGGTACATTGTATATTTATTAAATTTGAAAATTTGTTTAAAAATAAAAAGATCTCATTTTATTTAAATCTATATGATCAAATAAATAAAATGACAGATCTTGTCACCTTACACTTTATTTAATAAGAAGATAATTCAACATGTTTATCAAAGGCTGGCGAATGACGGTATATTTAGTATATTTATAATTTACACAAATATAATATTGGTATAACGGTGCCGATTGGCACCGATAGCGGTAGTTGTCGATCAATAACATTCTATTATTAGATGCTATAATAATATTTTGACCATATTTTAAGGTTTTGATGTAAAAATGGTCAATAATCAATTTAATAAATTGGAGTCTTAGCCATTTATAATTGAAAATATTTATATTGATAGGTATGAAAAATAAATAGTTATTATACATTAGTAATCTATTTAAGAATTTAGGGGGGGGATCCAAACTCCCCTCAGATACGGCCATGAAAATAACTTATGAATAAGACATAGGTATAAAATAATTTACTAAGATGGTTTTCCTTAAAGTTGATATAGAATGAATAAATTAATGGTTTTACTATTTTAGGTATGCATAATTACTTAAATTGTTTAAAAAAAATTATCAGTATAAATTTGGAGCACTTCTCAAAATATGAGTGGACAGAATCAACTAAATAAAAATTAAATGCACTATCTTATATTCTTACTCCTTAGTCTTCAGGACAAAGTTAATTAGTACTGTGGATTGATGATTGAGCTCTGATGTAAATTTAAACTGTGGGCTTATTAATCTAAGTTCTAACCATGGTTTAAAAAATATTAATCTTTTAAAAACGTCTTTAATTAGATATTCTAAACAAGAATATTATTGGGTAAATGGGTAGGGGCCCTCATTATCGATGTTGTACATGGTGTCCTGATGTGATACAATATTGTATCTATGGGGAACTTGATGTTTGATCAATAGTTGTACACAGAATAACAACTAACAGCTAATCTAAAATTAATATTTTAACTTAAATTTAAATACTACACTTTATATGTTAAATTAAGTGAGTTTTAAGAAAAAAATGAGTAAACAAGGAAGTGAAAAAAAAAAAGAAATAAATTCTAAAGACGACAAAAAAACAAAGAAGCAAACACCAACAACAATAAAGACACGGAAAGAGGGTAAAAAGTCGAGGAACTTGGTGGATGTATTTAATGAATGTGCTATGGATAATGCTTACCATACATGTCACAATGTACAAGATCTGCTGAAGTGCCGAGGATTTCCATGGCCACAGGCACAAAAGAAGAAGAAAAAGAAAGGTGGCAAAAAAGGCAAATAAGAATAAAAATGGATCAGTAAAAATGCAATAAAAATATGTTATTGACTTTTTGTAATAAAAAAATATACATTACATTTATGTTTACATATCACTTTTTCTAAAAAAAAATCATAATAATAAAAATATACACTGTGACAAAAGTTTAACTTTAAATCAACTTGTACAATACACATGAGTAATATAATACAATTAATTCAATATTACTTATAAATAATAATAATAATAATAATAATAAAAAAAAAAAAAAAAACACTAAGCAGATCTGTAATAAACAAGCCTGGCGTCATTTTTGCCGAATTGTTTTTAGATTTTATTTTCTCTAAATAATCGTTTATCACAGACAAGTCAACTAAAATGACGCCGAAACATTATTGAAATGAGCAAATTCAACTAGATCATTAAAACAAACAAACAAAAATAATAATAATAATAATAATAATTATAATAGTAGTAGTATTAATAATAATCAGAGAGAAATAAAGAGAGCAGGTATCTTAAGTTATTTAAAATTACAAAAAAAAAATTATTAATATTATTTTTTTTTTTTTTTAAATAAAATTTGGTAACTGCATAGAAAGATGATAAATTTGTTTATATATATAAATTTAAATAAATATGTTAAATTCGTTTTTAAGCTCAGTAAGTTAATCCCTGTCATTTTGCACAGCCCATAATTGGTTCATTTTTCTAAAGATAATAAGTTGAATGATGAAACACATTTAATCCTAAAATAAACTTAAAAGTAGTTTAATTTTAAAGAGAAATACAACAGGAAAGAGAATGTTAAAATTTAGAAAAGGATATTAATTTATGAATTACTGGGAACAAAGAAATACATACAAAGAAAATTTTGGTAACTAAATAAAGCATATGTTCTAAGAGAGGCTAACACCTCAAACTGAGCTTTTTGCCACAAATAATTGTGTTGCAATAGAAAAGCTGAAAACAAGCTATACTCAGTACAATATGTGGCATATCTTATTGTTTAATGAACATTATTTTATTCTTTTGTTTTTTTTTAATTTATCACTTAATCTCTAGTTTTCATCATGATTAAAAAATTTGTATTTTATATTAATGACATTTTTATAGATTTACTTCTTTACTTATACACTATGAATGCTTTATTTAAACTATTAAAATGGCTTTAATTGAGCATTCATTAATGTCCACATATACCAAAGTTCAACAATCACAGAATTTACTAAGATCAAACATATACAGCGCCTTGTGCATCATTATCATCCAAACTAATTCTAGTATGAAATGATGGTCCACCGCCATCATCAAAAAAACGTCTAAAAGTAAATTCAAAGAATCCATGGAATGGACGATTACCATCAGAATCAGAACTCCTATTATCAGGATCAGAAGAATCTGAATTCTGAAGACGTTCCGGATCAATAGGATCAAAGTTAGATGTATCAGTTGAAAACTGAATGCGTGGTACATGTGGAGGATTATGACGTCTCATTCCTCTCTCAAAATCTATATCTTGGAAGAATGGATGATTTTTTATTTCATCAGCATTCTTACCCAAGCGGTTTTCTTTACTAGTGCATAACTTTAGTATAAGATCAGCACCTTCCGGTGATAAGTTAGCAGATGTTGGTATTTGTAGAGTATTTTCCCAATGTATAACCTGCAACAATTGAATTAAAATATAATTATAAAATATCACTTAATAGTTTGTAAAAATAATTTATATACCTTGTATTGAGTCTCTGCAGGGGTGTTAGCAAGAAATGGAGGTGATCCCACCAACATTTCATAAAGGATGACTCCAACACTCCACCAATCACATAATTGTGTGTAACCAGTTCGAAGTAAAACTTCAGGGGCTATATAGTTCGGCGTTCCAACTAATGAATGAGCTTCACACCTTTGATGTTCTCTTCGACGTCGCCTTTCTAAAGGTTTTAACTGGTGACATCGACATTCTGCACCATTTACACTCCATTCTTCACCACCACCCATTGAGTCTTGTCTACAGTGCTCACCTGAAATATACATAGTTGATAAGAATTTAAATTTTTTAAATATATAAAAAATCTTTAAATATTTACCATCCTGATAATATTTTGAATTATGAGTCCATCTGAAACCAGTGCATAATCCAAAGTCGGTGAGTTTGATATGACCATCTCTATCGATCAATATATTATCTGGCTTGATATCTCGATGGATAAAACCCATTTTATGAACACTCTCTACAGCACAAGTCAATTCAGCAATGTAAAACCTAAAAACATTTTTATTATTTAGTTAATAAGTATAAATTAAATCATAGTATGTTAAAATAAACCAACTAACCTAGCCAAATGTTCTTCAAATATTCCCAATTTGATTAACAATGACATCAAATCTCCACCAGGAATATAATCCATAACAAAGTATAAATGATCTTTATCTTGAAACGAATAATATAGTTTAACAACCCACTCATTATCAGCTTCTGCTAGTATATCTCTTTCAGCTTTAACATGGGCAACTTGATTACGTTTAAGTACATGTGCTTTTTTTAATGTTTTCATGGCATATAAATGGTTTGTATCAATTTTTCTAACTAATGTAACCTCACCAAAAGCACCAACTCCAATCGGTTTGATTTTTGTAAACATTGATTTGTCCATTTTAGCTCGTTTAAGACGTATGTAATTTGATTCTTTTTGTGATAACATTTTTCTCATTTGACACTGAGCTTCTTCACTCAAACCTATTTTAGCCATTTCCGTCTCAAGCTGAACACGCCTAAACACTCTCTGTTTGTGTGACTTAATTACATTTTCTACATGTTGTTCCATGAAGAACTTAAATGCTTGAGGAGAATAATTTTTTACTTTACACTCCCGTCTTTCTTCTTCTTTCTCTTTACTAATATGT